CCTTGTATTGGCTATTAGATACCAAACTGGACATCCCATCGTAAAAAACCAGCTGCAGCTTGTGTGTCATAAGATACTAAATTCATGTCGTTTAGTAAACATTCAATTTGTTTGTTATTAAAAAAACATGCGATTAAAATACCTGCAGATACCATGGATTGGGAACCACAAACCAAATTTCATAAAGACGGACCACATATTGTGTAGTCTGTAGGTTTGTACATATCCACACACAGAAACTTCACTTCGAAAAGCACGTTTTTGGGTCCAATTTCTGATTTAAAAATCACACATTTCAACAAGTGACTCAAAGAATGTGCTACGGCCCAACATTCGATTCCCTTCTTTAATTTATAGCTTTAATAGGCGATGTCACATAAAATAATGTTATAGCTTGTCATTTAAGTTTTGCTTTAGTTAAAAGATGACCCATTTAAACAATGATAATCAACTTATATTAGCACACTGTGTCTAAGGCTCTATTTTACTACCTTCATTTTCATTCAAAAACTAATTTTTTTCATGCAACCATGCTATAAAATTTTGACATAAGATAGGATTTTATATTTCTATCCATAGCAAAAGGTACAATTTGAAAATAAAATCTAACATTTTGATACCAACCAATACGTACGTGCGTACGTTCGGTGTTGTTACGTTCCTTACCAAATTAACATTAGTAACATATTTGTATATCCCATTTTGTAATTTTCATAATTTAAACATTATACGCATACTTATTTAAAGTATGATGTAGCATTATATGTTTCACACGAGTAGATTCTAAGGCACAAATAGGTACAAAATCAATCACTGTTTAATAAATAATAGTGGTTTAAATACCTGATTTTGGCAATCCAATAGTTTTATCCCACAACTAATTTCGACTTGCTAAGAGGTCATCATCAGGGGCGTACAAGGATGAAGGCCTTCAGGACAGTATTCGCAATCCGGAGGCTTATCGTACTACAATTGTTTAATTAATTACATTGTATGTATCATTAATGCATACTAATACGTTAATACGTTAAATTACTATAACAACAACTACTGTTTTATCAACTGTACTCTAGAACTTCCTTTTTGACTACTAATTTCACGAACGTTTTTAGAATAACACCCCTGCTCTATTATATGAATGCATCGGTAATGCAAGACGGCTCCGTATATTTACATATTTCAACAGCCCTTCTATGTAACTGCCAATCTGCGTGTCAATTCGTTCTTGAGAGGTGCCAAGAACTCCTATGCAGTATGCTTACTAACTGATTGACATTCTTAGAAACGTTTTAATAAAATATAAATTAAAGAAGGAAACAATAATTTCATGGAAATATATACTTTATAAACGACCCAGCAACAATTTGTTATATTATATACCAACAACAATCAGTTAAAATGAGATTTTAAATAAAGTGTAACAAACCTTATGAGATTCTCTACATAAAGTCGTTGAAGGGGGACTACTACAATAAGTCCAATCCAAGAACCTGTAGCATAAAGTAGGTTATCTTCCCTGCAAAACTCACCTGTTTCTATACTGCGGTGCATATAAATCGTTATAGGAGAGATATTTCAAAAATTTTATTTAGATAACGTGATCAAACCTAATGATAAATATTAATCAACTACACTTCTGGTAATAGTATATATCATCACTACGGCGAACATTGGCCCTTTTTGACCCAAGCTCAAGTTTCATGAAAACGAGTGATGTTTGAAAAACACTTTTTACCCATGTGATAAACTGTATTATGTATGTATTTTTCACCATATATATTGCGATATTATTTAATAAACTAAGTTAGAAAACCAAAATACTCTTAATTAATTTAAAACCAAAATACTTTTTCATTTTAAAATAATCTTCCAAAACTACCTCCCATTTTTATTTTTTTTGTTAATGCAAACAAACAGCTGTTTAGTAAGTGATTCAACCATTTCTTCTATTAAGTTTGCGTTACATTATACCATCGATATGTTGAACGATTAACAAGAATGCAACAATAAAACCGATTTAATCAATCGATACATAACGTTGATACATCCAATTGTTAACAATGAAGTCAACAACTGAGTTTATACAACACATGACTTTTACTCCAAAGGGACTAAAAAGACTTTTTACTCCCTAGGGAGCAAAACAGCTACCTTAAACCCGCATCGCATGGATTAAAAACCGCTGTTTAGCTGCAGTATGACAAAAAATATATTTTTTTAAAGATAGCTAAGCAAACTCGCGTCATTTGATACCTGAGCTCCTGAGCTCATTAACGTTGATTTGTTAAAAAGATCTCCTTTAAGCAAGGATTTCCAAAGATACATTCCAGGATCTCTTTTAATGTGCTAATGAGGGCCAGACCTGAATTGGAATCACCCGCAGGTCTGTACAATGAACAGAAACTCGACGGAAACGATGCCTTTGGATAACTTCATTCATCGAGCTGTATCATGTTCTAACTAACGCAACGAGTTTTATATTTTGGGGGGACTTAAAATATAGGATTTTTAAGCTTAAAGACTCGTTTTTACATTGCTATATCACAATATATAATATATATATATATCACAATATATAATATATATATATATGTATGTATATATATATGTATATATATGTGTGCATATTCAATCGACACAGATTCAAACCTTAAACCTCCCTTAAAGTAATTTCAACAAAACTACCAGGCGAAAATGTATTGTCCTTTGATTATACTCAGTTCAAACTGAGAGATCCGTTTTGTTTCGAATAAACAGCAACAAATCAAACTGTTTTAAAATCGGCTTTGTTTGACCTACATACTATAGTTAAACTGTTAGAGTGATAATGAAAACTAAATTCAACCACTGTTAATCGCTTTTCTAAACATTGATCCCAGCGTCTGTAAATGTTTGTGTCTAATTTTGCTTGCCTAGTGCTATCAATAGACAGTTGTGAGTTTTGAATAACCCGATAGTGTTCTCGAACAAACCAATCAGGAGTATATATGTTTGGATTTTAAATCTATGGGATTCTATGGTTAAATACAAGATAACTAATAATAAAATTATTCTCTTAGTAATTTTATTTTTCCAAAAGTCAAGAGAAGTGACGTGTGTGCATTTTTAATAACAATTAATAAAAAATATCTCTTTATGGTGAGATTTACACTTTATGGAAATCAACAATACCTAATGTAAATAACCTTTGTAAACATGTTTAAAATTTGTTATTTAATTTTTTCTCTCTTTATTGTGTTAGGTTATCTTTCAAAATTGTAAAATTTTATCGGGCTATTTTAGATGTATACAATTTAAATACTGAATAAGACCGTCTTTAACTCCTTAAAGACAAGGATCTTTGACTCCTTAATACTGATGATTAATCAAAGGTATTTCCTTTAATTAATTACCTTTGAAGGCTACGTAGTCATGAAGTGGAATAACAATAAAACGTCGTTTCATAATGTAAAAGATGCTATATTTAGAGTTGCAAAGCATTCAAATCAACATAGTAAAAGTATCTAACAGTAAAAAGGTTGTAAATTGTCGCAGAAAAGTGAAAGTATAAACAAAATAAAAGAAGAACGCCGATGTTGTCACCTATAAGCTACAAGTGGCGGGCATCGCCATATGGATCTAATAAAACAGCTCGTTGAAAGGCAAATCGGGGGCTGTTTTCGAAGTCATATTTACGAGAAAGAGGAGAATATTTTTACTGAAGCTGGACGACTTTTTGTAGATACATTTTATAAGCGATAGTAATATTTATAGTTTTTACTTCATCAGGTACAACTTCATTTGCTGTTTTGAGCCCAATAAATAAATTCCACGATTAAATTTTAACTGTGACTAACATAATTGGAATATTGTGTTGAAAGTATTTTTAAACTTCTGGGCTAACCTACTGGATAGACCTAGGTACAGCACCACAACTCCCTTCGGTCCACAGAAGCTAGCAACGCTATTATTTTACTATATACAGTATTACTATCCGCAATGCGTTGCCTCCCACTTAATTTCCATGGCCTGGAAAATAGATAAGTGTTGCAAGTTTGATTGATATGTTTCTCGTTCCAGCAAACCCAAGTGCTTAGAAATATCTATTACACGTTGCGGCCGTACCATGCGTTCATTTTTATGTAACATCAATTTTACTTTGAAATAAAAAAAATTCAAGGTTGGCTGTGGCAAAATTGTTTGTAAATTTACTGGATCGTGCAAATAAAAAAACAACCCTGCAATACACTTTTTACTATAATCATACCACACTTGAAAAAAATAATAAGTCAGACACTTTAGATAAAGAATGGTAAATAGCTATGTGATATTCATAAATGGAATGTTAGTTATTCAACTAAATATTAATCCCTTTACGGTTTTGCATGTCAGTACATCATGTGTTACATTACGCGATATTTAAAGTAATCAATTGTACATAGTAAACTGGTAATAATTGTAACCACAAGTGGACGTCGACATGATTAATTCATCGAGTGAGGTATGAGCAACGATTATATTAATTCCTAAACACACTTCATCTCACGATGTTGATTGACCAAACAGCAATATATTACTTCCTTGCTGTTACAACTTCATCGTGTAATCCCTCATACGACCATGATTACTACAAAGTTTGTACTGTATATCACTAAGATATTCATACAAAGCTTTTTATAATCATCAGCTTATCAAGTTGACGCTATGCTTAGCTTAGTAAGGCTGTTTATTGTCTGGTTAAACTAATTACGCCCGAATAAATAGGTTAATTGTGCATGAAATATTGTTAGAGTGGCTATGACAATAACAGCTGGTGTTTTGGCATTACGCATGGTTTGACATGATAGTAAAATTCCGAAATATATCTGTTACAATTTCTCAGATAAGCTCATCAATAAAGAATCAATCTCGAGAAAGAAGTCACTTTAAATTATAGATGTATATGTTAGATGTTGGACGGATATTACCCTATGTAAACTGACAGGAGATGAAGGGAAGGATAACAGGGTATGTTGTTACAGGCCAAGCATGCTGGCGAAGGGGGACGAAATATTCCAGGTAAATGAATCAGTTTAACAAACACTTTATCAAACTGACACATCATAAGTTCACTAGTGATTTTGCTTTTTTCGAGTTATTTAAGGTTCCAACTTTAATCTTGTTGGAAGAGTAAAAATAAGTAAAAAGTTCATTCGTACCTGTAGATATGTCTGAAACCAACGGCTCGTTTCACAAGCTGGCATGATTTGTTTTGTAGTTTAGTTATTCGCAGAATGTGTCCGACTTGTCATCTGAGTTTCTTTTATTTTTACATTTTGTACTTATTACTTTCTTTGATCTGTTTTTTTTAACATGTTCTGCAGTATTTAGGTTTCATCTTTAATCTTGTTGGAAGAGTAAAAATAAGTAACAAGTTTTCTTGTACCTGTAGATATGTCTGAAACCAACGGCTCGATTCACAAGTTGGCATGATTTGTTTTGTAGTTTAGTTATTTGCAGAATGTGTCCGACTCGTCATCTAAGTTTCTTTTATTTTTATATTTTGTTACTTGCTTAAATCTCTTTTTGTAACATGTTCTGCAGTATTTAGGTTCCATCTTTAATCTTGTTGGAAGAGTAAAAATAAGTAAAAAGTTCATTCGTATCTGTAGATGTGTGAAACCAACGACTCGTTTCACAAGTTGGCATGATTTGTTTTGTAGTTTAGTTTGCAGAATGTGTCCAACGTGTCATCTGGGTTTCTTTTATTTTTATATTTTTGTACTTATTAGTTGCTTTGTTCTGTTGTTGTAACATATAATTCTAATATAAATTTGAAATAAAAACTTCACCAATATTTCTGAATATTTAATTCCATGAGGCCTTTCTCCAGATCTGGCATCATCAGACACATCACAAAGCTGTACATTCACAAAAAAGTTTTGTGATGTGTCTGATGATGCCAGCATAGCTGGCGAAAGGCCTCATGAAATTAAAAATTCAGAAATATTGGTGAAGTTTTTTTTTCAAATTTATATTAATTCCAATATTACCAGTTCTTCTTGAAGATATAATTTTAAGTTCTGCAGTATTTAATTTAATGAACTAGTACCCGTGAGTCTTACGTATTTTTACTGTATCCCTATTATAGATGTAGGCTGCAATTGTAAGCTATGTTACCTTATAATTATGGCTTTAAGACATTGCACTGTTATTCCCGACTTACAAAAGGGAATGACAATGGTGCTCAGAGACGCCTTCAAGTAGTCGTAAACTGCAAACGCCCTGTGTCTATGACTGTGATCTGAAACCATACTATGAAATTGCTTATAGTGACGCTAAAGTATAAATTGCTCAATAGCATAACATTGTCATCTTTTTATTATCCTCCTCCCTACTGAAACTGCTCAAGAAGCTAAACATGAGGTTAAACGACATTAGTTCCAGAGTAATTTGATATAACAGCCCTTGGAAGTGCTCAAGTCGCGGTGCTTGACGGCAATTCCGTTTCTTTCTAAGGGTAAACACAAGTAAATGGGTTACGTTAAGGACTTCTATGCATTTCATGTAATTTAAAAGTCTTTGATTATTGTACTTTGTGAGAACCCATTGTGAGCATTCTTTCTTAAATAAATTTTTTGGTATGGTTCACTCAAAACCCTGTCACTATTTTTATATTGGTGCCAAAAGTATATCTGTAGTCTAATCGTAGGAAACCCTTTTCAATGCCAAATCTAAGTGACTAAAAAAAAAAGCCCCGTTTTACTTTTGAAACTGGAAAAATAGCCAATTCATTTCAACTCTCAAGAATCACTAAATAATATGTTTAGTTTAATGTTAAACTTACAACTCTGGGCATGATTGTATATAGAGTTGAGTTTCTGCCTCTACTGAATCACACAGATATTTTCTGGACAACTCAAGATTTCACAAACTGTCATTCTGGAGTTGTAGAGCTATTTATACCCTCTGGATTCTGGAGCTGGGCCAAGCAAGGCGACAAGAGTGACATTTGGCACGGAAGTGTTTATAATTGTCGAGTCATATCTTCGCGTCGTGTGAAGTGCAACGCACTCCTCAAATCCACTTGACAACATCTGGAGATAACCAATCTCGAATTATCTTTTAGTCCTTGGATTGGAATAGTTTATTTATTTTTCTTTTATGTCCCATTGTCACATCCTAGGACGCTAAGCTTTGGTCCAAAACAGTTTTACACTTAAATGTTAGGCCCGAAGGTTCGCGATATTATCACTTATCACTTAATATAAAAACTATTGGGGTTTGGCGGGATTTGAGCCTGGTACCTTCGAGAGTAAGTTCCGAGACCTACCACTAGACCAGATCGACCCCACCACCTCACCAGTTTTGATAATAGTAAGATTTCTAAACGAATACAATATGTTTTGGATCATAAAAATATAAATTGCATGTTATTCATTTTCATAGATTGGGTAAATTTCCATTTAGAGTAGAAGTTATTACAGTAGGTCTTGTATGTTATGCATTTTGGTAAAATTGATCACATTTATATATTTTATACCTACTATACTATTAACGTTTTACCAAAATATCTTTGATCTTTCCCTCTAACAGCAAACCTTAGTACTCGATAAACATAAGGATATTTAAATATGGAATAAATCTGCCTTTTTTAAGGGAATACTTAAGTAAAAATCTAATCAGACAAAAGTAAATTTTCATAGTGTGCAGGTTTGCTGCGTCGGAGGGGGGGGGGTATTAAAATTTGGCTTAGCGTGCACTCTGCGTTATCACCTCCTTTTTAGCGTCTTTCTATTAGGAATTGATTCAACATATTCATTTTTTAACTTTTAGGCAATAGGTATTATCACATAAATAAAAACTATCAGTGTTTGTTGGGGTTTGAACCTGGGGCCTTTTTCCCTAGCACTAGACCAGCTAGCCTTTCAGTTTATTTAGTAGTAAGTAGTAACACAGTTTTTGGGATATTTATAGTATTTTAACCATAATCATAAAAGTGAAAATTGAATTTAATTTACTTTCATACATTTTCGTCCAGGGAGAATCATTTGAGAATGTACTCAAATTACGTATGGTATTTTTATGTATCAACATTGACACGGTTAAAATATATTCCTCTGATTTTTCAAAAAGTCCGTTTCATACAAATTAGTAACGGGTTTAACATTCTAAACGCTAAGGTGCAGGTACTACAGTGCCGTTTTGTTAACAAAGACCGTTCACACTCTTAGCACGTCGTGTCATAATTTTCATTCAATGAGGACGTTAACGCAAAACGCCTCCGTGGAAGTTGGATGTAACTTTGATAACGCGAGAGAGTAGACGTGGCAGATAGCAGGCTAACTGGACAGAGAACGCGATCCTCTGTGTGATAACTTTATGATCCTGTGCGGTAGGACAACTCTGGACACTAGAAAACTATAGCTATAGCCCAAATATCTGTGTATATAATAGCAATATAGTTAATATGCTCGCAACCAATTCAGTGGCAGCTAGTCGCATTGAATACCTTTTTTGTAAAGGACAAACGCAGAGTTTTGTCTTGCAGCATAGATTTTTATTTGCAGGATGAGATTTAATTTTATTTGTTAAAATTGCTATATAGGGTATGAATATTCTAGATCACAAGCCATCTATAAACTGCAGTTAATAAAGGTCAAACATCAGTCTTTAAGCTGTAACTCGTTATTAGCATCCAGTTCCATAAAACCTTATGTTCTTAATTACTAAAGCATTTGAATATTTAAGACAATAGTCTGTATTTTAAACTTTACAAAACATACCCCTTTATAAAAATTGATATTGTAATATACTATATTATTTCTAAGAGGTAATAACGTCCTGTTGTTCTGTCTTTAATCTATCTTGTTCTTTCGTTAATCTATCTGTAATGGTTATAGATTTTTCCTAAACCTTAAGTGTAAGACGGATCACTGGCTAACAACTAATCAATCCACGATTTACTGAGATTAGAACGCTTCTTCGCCGTTCATCTCTTTTCTTGTATTTGTGTTTAATCACTACAGTCTACCAGAATTTCAGTGACACTATTGATCCTTTTACGTACCATCGTTGATCTTACTATGAGACCGATTCAAAAGTTTATAGATGCAAGAAAAAAGTTTGATGTGATAATTTGTTTGTATTTTCATGTTGTCTTTCAACTGGAAGACTCACATATAAAATATTTGTCATGAATCTAATTCTTTCTAAAATCGAATTTGACATTTATTGATGTACTTAATCTTAATTTAAATAGTTTAATTGTTTGCGGAGACTTTTGTGATTTAAAATCATAAAGTAAAATTATAACACTAACTATAACATAACTAATTATAACATATTTTCATAAACTCGCTGCAAGTTTTAAATTTAAGCTATAAAAGCTATCTAAATGTCATTTATTGCGAGGTTATGCAATACCAAACGTTATACCTTCCCGAAATTGAACAAAATGTCTTGTTGACTAGAACAAATTTTAGTAAGGGGTTTTCAGTCCAACCATAGATTAAACATAGGGAGTATATTTAATCTATGCTCCTACTCACCGATGTGTACCATAAGTAGCCAAGTATCTTAGAACCCAGTTTAAACAGGCAGGTGTAAAAGTTAAGGAAACCCAAGTATTTGGCGGGAAGGGTGCGTAGCGAGGAAGGGTTATTTATAGCGGTTTGATAGAGAACCTCCGCCTCAATAATGGGGCCTCTCTCCCTTTTACATCCAACTTTTACTACCGTCCCTAGATTAACGTCATCTTGGGCTCAGCGTGCACGCTGCGTTACTACCTCCTTATTAGCACCTTTCTATTAGCGATTGATCCCGCATATTGGTTGCTTAACTATTAGTGAATGAATACCACTAATAGGGACAGTGATTCGGAGTCAAAAACTAATCTAGGTATGATGACACAGCGGTTTTGTATAGCTAATAGCATTCATGATTTCCGATGAACAAGCAAACTCCCCCCTTTTCCTAATGTATAATGTATATACAAATTTTGTATGTTGGATAGTTTTTAACTTCTTTGAAAAGTGTAACTAAGACTTGTTAGTGAGTTATAGTCCTATAGGGAAGAC